CCCCAAAACCCCAAAACCCCAAAACCCCGTGAGAGGTATTTAACATTGATATATAATTAAGCAATAATTAAATATATGGAAGCACAATCTTCACAAAACTCGTAAGCTCTTGCCGAAGTTGCCTTCTTTTAGTCTGATCCTTAGTTTATGAAGCCTCAATTCCATATTTGAGGCGCTTGAATAGACTAAAAGCTCTATAGATAAGAATAATATTACCTTGTTGTTTTAATGTTGACTCTCAAAATTATTAACCTCGCTCTAGGGCCAAATGTAACAGCAAAGAATGTACAAAGTATGCTATATTTCTTAGCTTTTAGTCAGTTTTGTTACCATTGATATGAATGAAAGACCAAAATTTGTGAGTCCTGAAGTATGAAATTTCATTCAAAATGAGAGCCGAAGAGGATCCCTGCTAACTCTAAAGGAGTTCTTCACCAACTAGAAAAGCTAAGAAGCATCTATTCATACCTGAATGATGCTTTTGTAGGATATAAGTACTCTTCTTTCATAGAAGACCTTTCAGAAACTTTAGATAATCTTTAACTGGTACCCTAATGCATCATGTTTAGAGAGTGTAATGAATACAGCCAAAGGGTCAAAGAAGCTGTTGATGAAGGGAGAAATGAAGAATTCAATGAACTTGTGGAGGAAGGAGTCAGGTAAGCTTGATACCTAGAGTGAAATGAGGTTAGAACAAAGTCTCATAGAAAAATCCATTAATTTAATAATTTTTTAATAGACTTAAGAATGGAATTTATGAAGGAAGATTCGGAATGTAAGTTTTAAACAATAGCAAATCATAACTTCATTTAGAGATAAAAAAGGGCATAACCCAATCTTAAAATTGTTGTACGATTATTATACAATGGATGACTCACCTCTCCGCAATAATAGCGATCAAAGGATCTTTTCCTCTTTAGCAGGTACTCTCATTATAGAATTTTAGGATTATCTTCGTATCAACCAAATAGGGAGAATTATATCAGAAATTTTGTTAGAAACTCCAGAGATATGGTAAGTTCAAAGGCTATGAGTTACAATTAAGGGCTATAGACTTTCTGGTGCTCGTATTTAAAATATTTCCATAAAATTTTACTAATTTTTATCCAGGTGTTCAACTAAAATAACTCCTGTTCTCCTTAATGATTTCGCTTATACTCTATCTAGGCTAAAAAAGAGGGTGCAAAGGAAATGAAAAAGAAAAATTTGGAAATAATGATGAATCTTGAGGCTGCATTTCTCTCAAGTGAAGAAAATAATTCATTCCTTAAAGAGGAAAATAAGAAGCTTCAGTAATAATAGCCTTAATTTATGCTTTAATCTACATTTAGAAAGCGCTTAGAGTATTATGAGTCAAAATATGGTCCAATCAGCAATGATAATGATGAGAAGGACTCAGAATTTCAGGAGAATAAGTTAGAGAAGCAGATGCCTCATAATGGCAAGCCTTTGGCTATGAAGTTAATCTTATAGCTAATCTTATAGAGTCTGATATGAAAATTCTGAGCTCACCTAATAAAATGAATGCTTTGTATTATGAACATATTTATGGTGAATTCTTTAAAGAAGAAGTAAAGTTTGATTCTTCTTTTGATTTGGAGCTAGATATGAATCATGATAATGTTTTGAAGTTTGTCAGAAAAGCTTTAGAGGATTCTATTTGTTTGCCAAAAATCAATTCTCTCAGTATCCAGAATTGTGATAATCTACCAATGGAAATAAGCTATTTTCTCCAAAATGTTATTAAGCAAAACATACCATGACTTTATCTAAGTGGTCTTCAGAATTTATTGGAGATAGCTTATATTGACAGTGCTGAAATTCTAAAGATAATCCCATATGTTACTAAAGAACTCTCATTAATAAGCTTCCTGTTCATTAGCAAAAACCTCTCAAATTTAATTGGGAAAGCAAGCCTAGTGGAGACTCTCTCACTTTTAGACTGTAAGTTTGTAATCCACTAATTTTATGAGAAATTTAGTTTTAAATTCTATTTTGAGAAAATATTAAATAAAATCTGTTTTGAAGAATATGTTTGTGAACTAATATAAAGGTGAATGGAGCGACTATTATCTATATGAACAGGGCAGATACTTGAAATTTGAACTAGGTAAAGTTGAGCTATGACTATTATAGAAAAAGAAGAATACAAGATTAAAAATCTAAAATTGAGCCTGAGATGAGGATATTATTCCTCTAATAAGAATGAACATGTCTGGTCACAGTACGAAACCATGATCTTGGCAATAAGTTTATCAAGCCTCAAGAAATCTCTCGAACACCTACACATTATTGATGAATCTCATATCTCAGAAGATGAGCTGAAATCCTTCCTATCCAGCATTGGTCTCGACCAGATCACTCCAAAAATCGGTTAAGAGCTTTCTTCTACAGAATAGCTATTTATCATTCAATCAGAATGCTCTATTCCGGGGTTTTGGGGTTTTGGGGTTTTGGGG